TATATATATATATATATATATATCACTAGCCTCCATGATTAGAAGTTTTTACTTCAAATTTTTTTTTTGGAATCCATTTGATCACTTGCTACTTGCCAAACCATACTTTCAACTATAAACAAAAATATTATATGACTGATAAACCAACTAAGTTTAACCTTTCGTATTATTATATTGAGTTTAAATTACATACACAACGAATATAAAGAATTTTTTTACTATTAGGTCACCAAAAGAATATTTATAGGTAAGTCTTCTTAAAATATGAGATTTATAATTTTAAAAATAAGACAAATTACCTGCTATTACAAGTAAATGTGACTTATGGTATAAAAAAATTCTTTACACTAATGATATATATAACTTAAACTTCCCCGAAATATACAACAAATTTATATAGGAAAAGGGAGGAGGGGAATGAAGTCTTGTCTTCAAACTTTAGTTTAGTTTGACCCCAGCCATATGTTCCTAGTGTTTTAATGTTTCTCAAAATAGGATCCTTTGGAAATTAATATAATATACGGAAAAGGGCCAAAACTTCCCCTGGAATATCGAAATTGGTACAAAAATGCCCTCCGTCCACCTATTCGAATAAAAATGCCCCTACCGTTATTTTTTTTAGCTCAACATCACCCTTATTACTAACAGAAAATTCTGGGGAAATTTTTTTTTTTAATTAATATCCATGTGTTACCGTTCCATTGGCCTAACTTAAACTTCAACTAAAATATAACTAAACTCACCCTTAACCCGTCCTAATATTGACCCACTCCGATTTTAAAACACAACTCTCTCTCTCTCTCTCTCTTTGTGTCTTGTTGCTACTTGGGCGGAATTCACCGGCGGATCCGCCGGAAATAGCAACGTACACAGTAGCCTATCTCATTTGCAAATTATGAGTAAAAAATCCTTTTTTACTAGACTTAACACGGTAATCTAATCGAGAAAATTGAATCCATGATAACAATCAAAATAAGAAAACAAATACTAGTGAAGAAATTATCTAAAAAAATTATTAACTATTATTAGTACATCATATGAACCCAGTGTGTATGAAATGTGACAATTGCACAATACCCATTACACGGAGTAGAAAAACTTACATATTAATTGAATAAATAGTGAAATAAATAAATAATAAACATACACATCACATAAACAATAAAAAAATTGAAAAACATCCTCAAATTTTCACAGAGGAATGACAAAAAATAGTGAAGAAACCGTTAAGAAGAATATGACAATTCCTTCCATTTTCCATATAAATGATTCTAATAGAGAACTCAGTTTTGAGTTTGCCTCATGAATAATAGTAGGCATACACTCGTAAGTAAATGCTCACTAAAATAAAATAGCGAAGAGAGAGAGAGAGAGAGAGAGAGAGAGAGCTATGTTTTAAAATTGGGGTGGGTCAATATCTGGGCGGGTTACGGGTTGGAATTTATGTTAGGCCAATTGGACGGTGACACGTGGATATTAATTAAATTTCTTTTTTTTAATGAATTCTTTGTTAGTAATAAGGATAATGTTGAACCAAAAAATAACAGTAGGAGTATTTTTATTCAAATAGGTGGATGAAGGGCAATTTTATACTAATTCCAATACTTTAGGGACAATTATGACCCTTTTCCGTATAATATATCAATAATTTTGGAGGTAAAAAGAAGTGAAGAATGTTAACATTTGAAAGCAAAGTAGTTGACTGACAAATTGTTCACTAATGGAGCTGCAACCTTCTATCTTAGAGGTACAAGATTCCACTAGCTTCCTTCTTTATAAATTAAGGTGATTATGATGAGGAGAAAATAAACATGGATAAATCATCTATATATTTAAGGAAGAAATCGTTTAGCTCGCTAGTTTAAGTCATTATTATGGTCCAAGGAAAAATTTACATGCAAGTATAGTACAATTGATTGTAAATATGTAAAATACTAAGTTGAAAAATCTAGGCAATTATTCTGCTATGTACCAGTCGCTAGTGCATCCAAGATCTAGTTTGTCTTGTGATATTTGTCTTAGAGCTAAACAAACAATTACAAAATTCTTTCACCAATTCCAAACTTCAAAATTTTCAATCTTGAGTCCATCGAATTGAACACCTCCCAACTCACACTAAAACTTCACATTTTTTTGGTGCGCATTTAATTAATAATTAATGAATTTAAGGTTAACCCTACCTAAAGGTTTTTGTCAAAATTAATGCCAACATACAGAAAAGTCCAAAGATTAAGCAAGAGTTAAACGGAAAAAACAATAATGTCAGTTGATTATTAACTCATATCATCGTCGTAAATAAAAATTAAAGATAAGTTTAATATATAAATATAATAACGATATTAAAAATTCTGTAACAAGACTAAAACCGATACCCAACTACAGTAGATATCATCTATATCGAGGATACGAACTACTCGAATAATTTTGATGGGCGTTGTCTTCATGGTGGTTTAGAATATATCAAGAATAATGCCTTCTTTAATCTACTTATTTGTCCCTATAAATATGTGTTATTAGTAATTAAGTTACTACAACTTCCTACAAACTAGCTTCTTGTTATATTTCAAAGAAAGAAGAGAAAGGTTGAAAAATGGCTGAATCTTATGTTTACTATTCTAGGTTTTTCGTGATACTTAGCTTACTAGTCATTGCTTCAAACGGTGAGTCAAGAAAAGGGATTTAGGATTATATATTGATATTATATATAAAGAAATTTTATACAATCACATTGTAATTTAACCAATTGTAACATGTCATTTCATATTAAAGCAATAATTTTCTTTCCATTTTTTATATCATCACTTCATGAGCATCACAATAGTGATCCCCGCCTGCCCCTTTTGCCTAACCCATTCGTTCACAACTTCGCTACTATATCGAGGGTCGAGCTACCAATAACAACAACAAAAAATTCAGTGTAATCTCACAAAGTAGAGTATGAGAATGGTAGAGTATGTTGGATGTGCGAACAAAATCCCACATTGGTAGCTGGAAAGATAGAGAGCATACATATAAGGTGTAGGAATCTCATAATGGTGTGAGACCTTTTGTACGGGTTTGGCCCAAAACAAACAATATCATACTATGTTAATAGTATTTTTAGGTTGGTTGAGCCCAACAGAGTGTACGTAGACCTTACTGCTATCCTGACCTCACTTTGTGGGATTATATTATATTTGTTGTTGTTGTGTTAGCTCGACCCTCGAGATGGTGAAGAAGTTATGAACGGACGAGTTAAGCAAAAAGGGAAGGCGAGAGTCAAGCTAACACGCTCTTGAAATCCTATATTTTTACTTATCTTCAATGAGAATATAAAAATAACTGGCAATTTTGTTTCCCATTGTATTTTGCTATTTCTTTTCTCTTTAATTTTTATTTTTATCTTTTTTTTTTTTTTTTTTTTTTTTTTTTTTTTTGTGGGCAGGTATTGAAGCTGTGAAGAGTAATGATTTTTGCACAAAATTTAGTGCTACATTTGAGAGTCAATGTTACCATGATGAATCTTGTATTGGCAATTGTAAGAGGGAGGGTTTTGTTTATGGCGGGGAATGTGAGTGGAAAGGGATTTGGCGCGGATTTGCTTGCATGTGTTTCTATTATTGCTGAAATCACCAAACAAATATCATTTCATGAACTATAACAAGAGAGACGAATTCAAAACTTAAGCTTTATATTTTAGCCTAAATAATAAAGTTGCTTCAAGTTTGTTGTTACAATATATGTACTCATCATCAATGAAATAAAATTGAAATATGTATACTACATCTTTGTTTGATATGTAATTGTGCAAGTAAAGATGAGTTTGTGATCTTGATCCAGTACGAAGAGTAAAAGAGTTGTCTACCTCGTTATTTATTTATTTCTTAACTTCTAGGCGTACGAAGTCTTAATTAAGCCTCGCCACTGTAGTAATGACTACGAGAAAAAAAAAGAATAGGGAGTAGAGGGGGAGAGAAGGATTCGGGTTCAACTTGGGGAAGAGAATGATTTTTGAAACTTTATTTTAAAAAAAACAAAAAAATAATTATATGTCATAAGTTATATATACATTAGTTCATTTGAAAACAATAGGCGATGTTAAAGGTATTTAATAAGTAAAAGTGTTAACCTTTACCTGGTACCTGTTGTTGCTGAAAGGTAACAGGTCTTGTGAAATTAGTTGAGGTGCATGTAAGCTTGCTCGGACATCACGATTATCAAAAATAATAATTAATGTATTAAAATAAAAAACTCATTGTAACGACCCGGCCGGTCGTTTCGAGTATTACAACCCTGTCTCCTCATTTATTACTCAAATTGTGCTTTACGGTTGTTATTTAACTTGTCGGGGTAATTGGTTTGGGTCCGGTGAGATTTTGAAATGATTTGGAATACTTAGTTCCAAGGTTTAGAACTTAAGTTAAAAAGGTTGACCGGATGTGGACTTATGTGTAACGACCCCGAAAAACTTTTGCTAAGGAAATTAAAGTTTGCGGCTCAGGCTTTTTGGGTTGAAGAATGCACTTAAGTGTTAAGAAAATTTTTTGACAGAATAAGGACATTCTACGGTCTATTTTGCGACCGCATAAACGTTATGTGGACCGCGAATTTGCCGCAAAACGAAGCGGAAACTCGATCAAATTTTGGGCCATTATGCGGCCGTAGAAGTGTTTTGCAGTCTATTCTGCAACTGCAGAATGGTCACATACTGGGGCAGAATGTGCCCAGTTCCCAGGGTCCATTTCGCGGGCCAGAGATGCATTATGTGGTCGCATATGCGACCGCAGATCCTGTCCCGTAGCTTCATTTTCTGATTTTTATAACCCGACTCTATTTTGATAAATAGACTTTGGGGCTCATTTTGAAGACAAAAATTTGATATTTTAGAGAGAAGTGAGAGTGTTCTAGAGAGAGGAAGAAGCCCAAGTGCTTTGTTCATCAAGGTCTTGTTCAAACTTTGAAATCCAACAAGAAATATCACAAGATCTTCACCTAGGAGGTAAAATTCTAACGCTAGTCTTCAATTTTGAGTTTGGGTAAAGATGGGTGATTGGGAGTATGATTTTTGGGTGTGAGAGTATTATTTATACATGCACGTACCAATAAGGTTTGTGGAAAGATTGTTGAGTTTCAAATGGGTAAAGATTGGGTTGAAAAATGGTAGAAATCTTCAAGGATTTTAATTGAGGATTTGAGGGTCGAGTTGATGTCGGAATTTGGTAAAATTTGTATGGTTGGACTCGTGGTTGGATGGACGTTCATATTTTATAATTTTTGCCGGGTTCCGAGATGTGGGCCCCACAAGCAATTTTTGAATGTAATTTCGGACTTTGTTGGAAACATTTGTATTTTCATATAGAATTAATTCTTATAATTTGAATCAAATTAATTGTGACTAGATTCGAGCCGTTCAGAGACCGATTCGAGAGGCAAATGCACAGCAGAATAAAGAATTACACGGTTTGAGGTAAGTAACAGTTCTAAATTTTGTCCTGAGGGTATGAACCCCAGATTATGTGTTATATGATCGATTTTGAGGTGACGCACATGCTAGGTGACGGGCGTGCACCGTAACCCGTAGGAATTGTGACTTGGTCAAATTCTATGGAACTATGTAATTGAATAATTTATTGTTATCTGTACATTGTCCATGTGGTAGAGAAATTGAACCATAAATCATGTTTAGATTATGTGTTGGCACTGAAGGGACCCACAAATATCGTGTACATATTGAATTATCTACTAAATTATAGTTTTGTACTCAGTCACAGTTTACTTGTTTATTTTATCTCAGTCTCTATTGTTCATTATTGATGCATCATATCATTGTTGTTTGGGTTGATTTTCATGATTATTGAGAGCCCGAGAGACTGGAGAGATTTATGACTGAGTGAGGCCGAGGGCCTGGTTGTGAGATATTATACTATAACACGTGAGTTGTCCGTGCAGATCCAGATATTATACTATAGCATGTGAGTTGTCCGTACAACACGTGAGTTGTCCGTGCGGATCCAGACATTATACTAGCACGTGAGTTGTCCGTGCAATACGTGAGTTGTCCGTGCAGATTATAGCGCTTGGGCTGAAGGAGCGCCTCCGGAGTTTGTACACCCCCCAGTGAGAGCAGGTACCTACTGAGTGCGAGTGCTGAGTGAATGTAATGGCTGAGTGATTGTGGTCCTGAGAGGATGTATTTGATTTCATTATTGTTGCACTTCAACTATCATATATCACTGTTTTAAAAATTTCTGAGAGATATTATCTTCTGTTTCAGTTGAACTTGACATGAAATTACTGTTTTGACTTTAAATGTTGAATTTGAAAGCATGCCTACCTTATTATGTTGGAAATTACTGTAGTTGGACTCAATTGTGAAGCTCGCCACTACTTTCAGTTCTTTATGTAGTATTGTTACTTGCTGAGTTAGTTATACTCATACTACACCCTGCACTATTGTGTGCAGATCCAGGTATTTTCGGATACAACGGGTGTTGATTTCTTCGCACAGTTGATTATCCGGAGATTCCGAGGTAGCTGCCGGTGTTTCGCAGATCTTATCTCTCCTTCCTTATCTTCGTGATTACTATATTTGGTCTCAGACTATAATAAACCGTGTTTTCCAGATTTGTGAGGGTGTAGATGCTCATGTACTCTGTGACAACCCTATAGTTGGGAATTCCGCATTATGTTTTGGGTTTTCTATTCCGGTTATGAGAACTTTTACTATTAAAACTGCTTTAAATTCATTCTTGTTAAAAGTATTGGAAATATTTGTGAGAAATCGGCTTGCCTAGTATCACGTTAGGTGCCAGCACAACATGTTAGGATTTTGGGTCGTGACACTCATAAATGTAATAGCCGGCTCGAAAAACCGGTTAAAGTTTTGTTAGGCTCCTTTTCTTTAACATAATCCTTACAAATTAGTCCAATGAAAATCATGTTTCATCATTAAGGCCCTCCTATTTTCTTCAACTATCATAATTCTCCCTCCTCTTTTACCTTCTTCTCCCCTTACGAACCAAAATCCCTCAAAAAAGAAAAAAGAAAAAACTTATGCCTTGACTTACGATCACCAAAATTCTCGTAATTTCTTACTTTTAATCAAAAAGTACTTTTTCTTGATGCTCATTTTCCCCCCCTTGATCCTTCACTTATGATCACCAAAATCGAGCAACCCTTTAAGCCCAAGATCCCAATAACAACGTCAGTCCCGCAATTTTCTGGCTCAGTTTTGAGTTTTGGGTCAAAGTCAAAGTCAAAATCAAGATTTGACATTTATAAGGGTAGTGGCAATAATTGTAGGCTGTTGTGGGTGGATTATGAAAAAATGGAGTTGTTGAGAAAATTGAGCAGAGGGTGTTTGACGAATAGTCTAAAAAAGGGTCAGAAGGTTGAAATTGAATCAGTTAATGATGGTGAAGATGTGTTTGATGCAGCTTCTGCTAAAGCAAAGTTGCAGCCTGAACATCTTGTTATTATGGTCAATGGTCTTATTGGGAGGTAAAAAGATTGAATTTTTATTTCATTATTTGTGTTTAATAATGTAGTAATACTATGTGTTTGTTATAGGAATTTGTTAACTTGTGAATATGATATTGATATATGTGGGTAGAGTTACACGACACATGTAGTGGTAGGAGCTAACCGATGGAATAGTAGATGTGTAGGTAAGCTGGCCCGATACCACCGTCATAAATAAAATGATATTCACTTATGTGATTTTCTCGATTCTTTCAATAACGGTTAATGCTGTATTAAGGATTTTAGTGACAATGATGGTTAAAGTAAAGATTGAAGTTTTTTCATCTAATATGTTGATTTTGTTTCGTTTGTGTTTGTTAATTTAGTGATACAATGTGTTTGTTATTAGGAATTTGTTTGTTTGTGTTTTTATAGTCCGGGCTAGTTTGCCCGCACCTCAACTAATTACGCGGGGTACCTGGTACCTCCTATCAGCACAAGTATCGGGTAACTCCGTCTGCCAAAGCTTGGATAGATGGAAAGATATGACCTAGTGATTTTTCCTCTGCTGAGATTTGAACCCGGGCTTCATGATTCTCAACCCACTTCATTGACATGTGAAATATGATATTGGCATATGTGATTTTCTTGATTCTTTTGTTTTGGCATCATTGGTTACTGTTTTTATTAAGGATTTTACAGACAATGATGGTTAGTTGGAACTAAAGAATGATTTTTTTTTCATCTATACGAAACTAATGAATCTGCATTTAGGTTGCTGGCCTCCCAGAAATAATGGTGTTCTATTTTCTTTTCAATTCTTTGTTTGGGTAGGGGTAGGGAGGGAAGTGGGGTATATTTCCGTATTAATTAAAGCTTGAAAAGAGTTAATTACGTGAAATATGATTATTGACATTTAGCTTTAGCAACTGTATCCTTGGACTTCCATACAGAGGGTCCATGTCATAACTGCAAAAATTTCAGATGGCAATGAAAAGTTGAATAAACGAGAAGCAAAAAACCAATTACAGGTATAATGTTGAAAAAAGCTTACTTTTTTCAGAAATTAAGGTATAATGTTGATTTTAGTTGACACTTTGTTGTCTTGCCATTTCTATGAGTGCTGAAATTTTAGTATAATATAAAACCAAGAAAATCTTGTCAGAATAGTTATGCATATGCTTCAAAGAAGCAACCCGAAACATTTCTGATGGGAATTTAAAATGTTAGCGAATGCTACCAAAAATCTCATTGTGAAGGTGGTTCTGATCTGTAGAGTTCATTAAGTCCATAATTGTGGTATTCTCAAAATGTTGCGCTTCATTTTGCATTTGTCTTATATTTCCTGCCTTTTTCAGCAGGTATCAAGTGGATCATGCATCCTCTTTTCGAGTTAATTCCAATTATCCAAATTTCTTAATAGTTTCTTTCTGATGCCTTTGCAGTTCTACAGATTGGAGATATGCTGCTGAGCAATTTGTCAAAAGACTGCCTGATAAAATTGTTGTTCACTGTAAGTTCAACTTTAGTGATGGCCTACCAATTTCAAATTGCAATCCATGACTGTCTGTTTCTTATTTTTTTTCTGCATGCATTTTGATCTTGCCTATAAAGGGAGTTGGCCAGTTCACATTATTTTCCTTTCCCTTTCCTCCCTTTTGTTGTTTGGACCTTGTCAAATATCTTCAATGTGGTTTGGGCTATGTCAAATGTCTTCAACTGGGTCGGCCCTCAGGGTTTAGCTCAAGTGCCAAAGGTTGAGGGAGTTGTGACTTAGGTCATAGGTTCAAGCCCTGCGCCATGCAAACAAAGTCTGGTATTTAAGTGGAGAAGGATAGAGAAGCGGCTCATTATCCCTGAGTTTTGAAGTTTGCGGTTGGTTCTAATGGTTGGTCTCAAACGGATATCTCGGTCATTAAAAAGGATCTTCAACTGGGCCGCAGCAGGATGGTAAGTTTTTTGTTGCCTTAAGAATCAGAAGCACTGCTTGCTACTTCAGTGTAATTTGTTGCGAAAGCATGGAACAGCGAGTGTCCATTATTTGATTGAGTACGATGTGGTCTGCTAGTCGCGTTAAACCTTTCCAAAGGAGTACATAGAAGGAGAGGTTTGGAGTCGAAGAATATTAAAAGTTTACCAAAGATATGAACATCTGAAGCGACACAAGGGGTAGTGGGGTTATGCAAGGACCCTTTTGATGAAATCAGACATGTAAATCAGTTGAGTAGTTTGACCTGAAGTTCTTTATTGTTGACCTCCTCCGCCAATAAGGAGCTTCAAACATCAAAAGAGGCTGCAGAAAAGCTTAAGGAAACTTGGTAACTAATTGATTCATTGGATGAATAGCACATGGAATGTTTGTAGAGACTTTTGGGAAGTTTATCTCTGTGAACTCATGAATTGGGATTAGGCATCAGTGTGGATAATATGAGAGTTCGTCGGTCAGTGTAATTGGGAACGAAGTGGACGTTGGACGCACGTTGGACGCCAGTCTCCAGGATAGATGTGAAGTTTGAAATTTGGTCGGCTGACAGATGTTTTCCATGCCCTTAGTACTTGATTTCCAGAACTTACAGTCAGATTATGTCACTTTAGGTTGTGAGCTGTGACAAACTTGTAGCTTATGCATATAGCTTACATCTTGCTATATTAGATATTTACAGTAGAAACATTGTTATACGTAATATGTATTGTTTTTCGATCTGGTTGGGGTGATGATAGAATAGGTAACACATATATAATTTATACTGAAATGTCAGCATTTCATCCTTTTTTTTTTTACCTCAATGGTGTAAGAAATATAAATATTTTGTTTGTTCTGTCGTGCGTCTTTAGTTATAGACCTTTTGTTTCAATTTTGTTGCTTGAAATTTACCTCCCAACTGCGTGGTTTGTCAATTAAAATAAAGATGCCATGATTTGCTGGGTTTAAGAGCGAAGTGTGACAAAAATGCATGCTTTAATAAAGAAAGATGAAGGTGGAGGAAAATAAACATTAAAATATGTTCATGTAATGCAAAAAGGTAATAATCATAAACAAAAGCTAGATGGACAAAGTAATTGAAAATTTATGATACAGTGAAATATATAAAGTGCTGCCTAAGCAGCGCACAGTTCAAATCCTGCATTGAAACAAATTTTAAGGCTTATGTACGGCTCAAGTGTGCTTTTAATAATACTGTCCAAAATTTTCATTTTTTCCCTTTTTATGTATTTCGTGATGACAAGCATATCTTAACCATTGAGAGGAACTTAAGTTGTTTGAATTGACGATAACACCTTGTGACTTGCCAGGTAGCGAGTGCAATTCTTCTATGTTGACCTTTGATGGTGTTGACCGGATGGGCGAGAGACTTGCAAGAGAGGTACTTCGCTAATGGCTTTCTGATTTTTATAGTTTTATTACCGAATGTTTAATGTCTCTTAGCAAATGTAAGTCCATTAGGAATAAGTGATTTGAGGCTTGGAAAAAACCTGCTGCTTTATAGTGCAGGTGGAGGATGTGATCAAACGGTGGCCTGGGGTGCACAAGATCTCATTTGTTGCTCACTCCTTGGGTGGCCTTGTAGCAAGATATGCTATTGGGAGGTTGTATGAACTTCCAACAAAAACAGAATTAGCTGATATTAATGGCTCATGCTTAGTCAGGGAAGAGAATGTGTCTGACCAATGTCACAAGCAGTCTTCGGAAGAAACTGTTGCTGGATTAGAACCCGTGAACTTCATAACAGTTGCGACTCCGCATTTGGGCTCAAGAGGGCATAAGCAGGTGCTTCATTATCTCACAGTTTCTTTAGGATGATATTTTTTCAGTAATTTTAGCTATCCCTATCTGGAATTACAAACTTCACTGTAGTCATTCCACTTCAAACGCTGATATACTGAAAAGTGCAGTTTACTTGGGCAAGTTTGAGCATAGGCATCTATTAAAGGCTTCACTTAAGTTAACATGTTTGCTGCTTTCATTTTCAATGTTAGTTTCTTGGACTAGTGGAAATTAGTTTTCCATTCAACCTACCGACTAAATTACTAAAGCAAGCAACTTCATTAGGTAAGGATGATCAGAGTCTTTTCTGTTTATTTTTCTTTTTTGTTTTGTTAGAGGGGGGTGGAATTGCTTTCATCCTTATGTGCGAACATAACTGTCTTTATCTTGAACATCTTCTTGTTGATCAGTCAACTATGCTTTAATCCTGAACTAGTTGGGGTAGATTATATGAATTTTCTGTATCATTTCAGCTTTTGATCGTGTCTATTTTATTTCAATGCTGACTAATTTGTCTTTCAATGCAAATTAGGTTTTTTCTAAAATCTTGCATTTGTCCCTACATTGGCATACAGGTCTCTAACCAATCTAACAAGATTCATGGTAAACAATGGACTTAATGTGAGTCTAGCAATAACAAATCCTTAATACCTACTAGTTGATCACCTGTATGATGATTTGCTTCTATTCATTTGTGTTCTTAGTTAAGTCTGCTGGGATCCAAGAGATTGAAGGTACTTTAAGACAAATTTCCTCCATATGAAATTTATCTTGTTTGCTTTTAGCACATTCAAATATTTCAGTATTGCACGTACAACCGATGCATATTGAGGTTAACTTAGGACATGACCAAACCATGTTCGGCGACGTTCTCTCATTTATTCTTTGTATGTGCTATTTGCACCATCTGTTAGATGTTATCATTACCAATCTTGTATGACCGCATATTCATTTTTATAATAGGTATGACGATACATTCATTCATATCCACATTTCTTTGATAATCTAGTGAATATGCTTGACCTACTCACTCAACAACCAATGTTCTTGTCACGGTTCTTGGCCTTCTAAACCCGTGGTCATTCTTTAATAACTTATCCTTAAATGTTACTCCATGTGGTTTGTGTTTTTTTAGTATGTTTGGCATGCTACTTTTCTCTTGTTTCGCTCAGCTCTATAACTTTGCATCCTGGACCACCAGTCTATGTTGGCTGGTTATTATCTTCTTTCGCTACACAAGAGTTAATCCTTATCACCAATTTTCTTTAATTCTATATATTTTTTTTAAACCCTGGTTCTAGAATGATTCACACCCCTTCCTATTTTTATCTAGTCCACAATATCATTATTTATAACTTAATTTTCCTATCTCTCTATCACCTTCTCTTATCTGCTTAGTCTCTTGTAGACAACCAACTCCTTTTTAAGGTTTCCATTATTCTATTGGCTCCATCCTGTCAATAAGTCTATGTTACAACTACTCCAAATATGTCTCTTTCGAACTAGTTTCTTTATCCTATCCGTCTTATTTGGTGAGTTTACTATCTGACACCACAATTCGCCATTGTTATGGTGGGACTAACTTCTTTAAGCACACCCATCTACAATGTGGAAAACTTTGCTTATATTTCATTCATCACACTTAGGCAATGATGTGAGAAATAAAAAAGTTAGCCCAATGCACTAAGCTCCTGCTATGCGTGGGGTTCGGGGAAGGGTCGGACCACGAAAATGGATTTTCCCGCTATGTGAGAAAATGCTTGCTTATTTAATACTTTGCCTAATTGTCGATGTGGATTGTTTCTAAATGGACATGTTACAATGAAAATGGATGTCTTGTTATATGGTTACCAATTATTGGAGGGAAGGATATCACCAAAAGACTTGCTCGTGAGGGGAGGATTGCCCGAAATTGTGTAAGGATATCACAACCCATTCCCTCAATCAATATGGGACTTGACACTCCCCCACACGCCCAGACTGGACAAATATAGTGTGGATAATATAACACGGGGGCCCCACATTGAGAAAACAACAACATGGATCAATGTGTTTGGTTCTGATACCATGTAAAGTTACAACCCTTGGGCGTAACTCAATCCCAAAAGTTAGTTCATGAAAGGAGGATTTTCCAAGACCATCTACAACCCATTCCCTCAACCAATGTGGGGCTTGGCAAAACATAAGGACGCGAGGAGAGAAGAGTTAAAGGAACACCAAAGCATCACTGGAAGCTTCTTATGTATATACATGTAATCATGATATTACCCCGATAATATGATACTAGTATAATTGCTTATAATGCTTGGTTCCTATAAGCATTTAGCTGCTGATGGTAAAGTTATTTTACGTTTGTCATGCTTTCATGGTGGGTGTGCCCCTTAAAGCTTGTGTATCTCAACACATTAGTTAACCTTGAACTCTAAATAGAGTTTACCAAAGTAATTGTCCTTTTCTTTGTAATTCTTTTCTCTGTTTTGCCCAGCTGCCACTTCTCTGCGGTCTTCCTTTGCTGGAGAAAGGGGCATCTCAAACTGCTCACTGGATTGTTGGGAGATCTGGAAAGCACCTATTCCTGACTGATAAAGATGATGGGAAGCCTCCCCTCCTCCTTAGGATGGTCAATGATTCAGATGATCTCAAATTCATGTCAGTACCAACTTTTGAATTTTTCCCCCCTATTAGAGGGAAGTGGCAAACGCATTATCTTGTAACATCATCTTTGGCTTTCTGTGTAGGTCAGCGTTACGCTCTTTTAAGCGTCGAGCGGCATATGCAAACGCAAATTATGACCGTATCCTATGAGATTTATTAGATTTTCAGGTTTCTTATAATATATATGCTTTGAGCACACAAAAATAGTTGTAGTTTGCAAAATTTTCTGAACGAAAACCACCCAGTAGTTTTTGATGAAAAACCTCCCAGTAGTTATATATGAGCTAGTAGAACTTTTATGTTTTGGGATATCTATTTGATTCGTGTTGCCATTTTAAGATAAATGAACTACCTTTCCTGATCTTAATCAGTTTGAAATATTTCAATGATGCTGCTTTCTTGTTCAAACAGTTATTCTGAACTATTGCTACAGCAGTGGAGGTTTTCATAAATTTGTTGTCATCATGTAAAATTTCTTGAACACAGCCTCATGCGTGCTGTTAGGATTGAAGATGACGTCATTGTTCTTAAAGCTTCCACCAAAATTATAGTGTCTAGGTCAGTGGGTTTGACTTTTTAAAAGTGGACATTGCTGGATAGAAGATGATATTCACACTTGAAATGCTGCTACGATAAATCTAAAACTAGTGATGATATGGAAATCCATCGGTCCTCTATGCTGTAAATTGCCCTTACAACTAAAGTTGACTCCGAATACTGACATTCAGTGATGCCACCTGCTAGTTGCTTAGTTACACCTCCATCAGCATCAGGCTAATGATAACTCCGTCCTCAAAAACCTGACCTACTGGCTACTTTCCTTTTTTTCTTTGTTTTCCCGGAAAAAAAATAGGTTCTTAAATGTGAAGGTATTTATTCTCAGAAACTTCAAACTAATCTAAATGATACTTCTCTTTTTCATCTCTATCTTGGTGCGACATCTTTTCAACTGACTACTTCACTTTGTGGCACTTCAAGCAACTATCTAGATATTTCTCAGTCCAAATGGAATTTAATAATTGTTCAAAAGTTCCTCTCTTAAAAGAGTGCCAGTCAACGTAGGTAGTATTTTATGAGAGGGAGATAGTACGAACTTCTCTTAATCCCAGAACTGGTTAAAGTGGTGTAGCTTTTTTCTTACAGCCAATAATCAACAAGAGTGATAAAGAGTCCGCATGTTGTATTGCTAGTGTGGTTTTCCCTGTCCTAATATCGGTATCTCTATCCTGCCAAGACCAGTTTTTCCATTATCCATCTGCAGGACATTCTCCTTTGTGTAGCTAAATTTCCCCCTGCACAGCTATGGGACGCTTAAGCTTCTTGTATATATTAATCTTGTCTTTAGCAATAGGTTCTTCTGTTTCATTCATGATAATAGTGTTGAGTTGTAATGTCCCGCGTTGGCATATAGGGGCAACCGAAAGCTTTATAAAGTTCTTGAGCTACTTCATAACAGTCTTAGAGGTTTTGATATTAATGTTTAGATAGTTTCATAGAGTATCAGAACCTGTGCGATGTTAGTAGATACCTAAACAGCTTCCGTCATAGGACTTTTATGGTGCTTGATCAATCAATGGTTTTGTTACTTTCCATGTTTTACTATTCTTTCCTATTAGAGTTACTGTTTTGGTATTTCAATTTTCCTTTTTTTTAAAAGTAAGTGTTTTTGGTAGTTCGGTTGTTGTTCCAGTTGCCTCTCTATCCTCACAAGGTAGGGGTAAGGTCTACGTACACACTACCCTCCCCAGACCCCACGTGGTATAATACTGCGTATGTTGTTGTTGTTGTTGGTTGTTGTTCCAGTTGCTCTTATTTCCGATTTCTTGCCACATATTTGTTATTTTGGGGTGCACACTACTTTTTTCCCACCACTATTATGTCCATTTTTCCAGCCATTGTGCCGACCATTATTCCAGCGAAATTCTACAGAACTAGAGTTTATTGTCCCGCAATGAGAATATATA